AACACAGATGAATTTTTGATGAGTAAGTCAAAGCACTGGCGAAGCTGGCTTTTCACATAGAGAAACTTCTTTAATTCACAGAACATTTTCAGGCCTAGATCATTAACACTGCCAGAGCTAATAATAATTAACATGCTAAAATCCATGCGATAAACTGGAGATTTTACCGGTATAGTTGGTAGCAACTGTAGTGTCAGCATGAACTGATTTTTCTGAGAACAAAGTAAAATGTGATTCAAAAATAATAGTGGAGTTTTAAAATTAATTTTAGAGAAATATGTATTATTTATTATATGACTCTTCTAATCAATAATACATTTGTTGAATATAATGACAATTATTCTTCTGAATAATAGTTGTATCACCACATTAAAGTTACAGATTATACCTCTAAGAGTGGGCAAAGTCCTTTAAAGATGCTGTTAAATTGTCACAAACTCCTGGGCAAAAATCTGGAGCAGGGTTTATAGTGCCTGCTCTTGATAATTAATGGCAAAGGCATCTGCTAAATCACTGCGAGGAAGAATTTTAAGATATCCATGTGCAGTAGAGTAGGGAGGAACTCCACTAAATAATTAGGCTCAGTCATATATCTCAAGTCCAGTTATGAAATCCCCAAAGTCAAGTTTTTAGAGAGAATGAGAACTGAGTTGCTGTTAGAAATGTGTTCCTTCATTTAATACAGATTTATTTGACACTAGCTGTAAAGACTGCCATCATTCAAGGAGGCTCAGGATGATAAAAGATAAAAACCCTACTCTCCAGAATTACTGGATATTTTTATTTTTAAGATAAAATTAATATTTTAAATTTCCTGTTTAATCGGTATTACCGATGAAAGCCAGTCGAGTTCATGCTGCCCTAAGTAACCATATGTGCAAGATCAAAGTACTCGGAAGAATAATTCAGTGAGCACATTTGTTATTAATTGCTAATCACTAAGCGAAGATGACTTTCAAAATGCCAGCTTCTTGATCCCTGCTTCTCCTTCCCACTGTGGCTTGATGGATCCAAAAATACGGAGTAACTTGGATGTTCAAAGTGGGAGTAGCTTTGCATAATAGCTCCTTAGTTCAGTATAACAAAATAAAATCAGTCACAAGGATCTAGGTTCTCCAATTATTGGTACTACCCATGATCATTTTATAATTTTATGCAAACTATATGATAATATAACAGGAGACCTTAGACATGACTTTGCTAGAGAATAGGAATGTTCAGGCCTAATTATTGGCCAGTTTGCTCCTTATTCCCCTTTTTTTTCCCTCCAACAACCAAATCCTTTTGGTTTTCTACTTATTACCCACATAATTTCTTAATGGTTGGTGTTTTTGTGCTTTGTGTTCAGTTCCATCTTTTACTATCTTTTTTTTTTTGTAAAAGTTACACATTAATCATTATCTAAAGTGTTTCTTTTACCAGCATGGAGTTTTTGTTCAAAGATCTGATAGGAATTCTTTCAAAGTGAACTTTTTGTTTTTTCCTATTTAAGGTTTACTTCAACAAGTTCACTGATTTTAGATCTCTCTGACAAACATAGTGGAGGTATCAAAACCCAGACATGTTGAAAATAGCTTTTTCTTGAAGCCATTTAGAATCTGAGACTTTCTGCCCTGCTATGTGAAATTGCCCAGCTTGGGAATAAGATGGGTATGTGTGCATGGCTGTGTTAGAGAGGTGGTAGGAAGTGGGGACAGGACAGGGGGAATGGTAAGTAATCTATAAGTGAACTCAGAATGTCTTCTGAAACGGATATGTATACGCTCTCCTATTTCCCCAACTGCCACAGACACTTCTATCTCAATGTTTGTAATAAATCAATGATGGTTTTTCTCTGTTGTTTTGGTTAGATATCTCCTTTCAAAAATCATTTTTCTGGAAGATAAATGTAGTGTTCTTTTTGTTTCCTTTTTTGATAAAGAATACAGTGTACAAGTGTATACTTAAAAATCATTTTCATTTTCTCCTATGGATCTCTCTCTTAGAAAAATAGAATTCTCTCATTTTAAATAGTATTTGTTGGATCATAGAAGTTTAGAAATTGGTAGTGGCCTTAGCTATTATCTTTTTTTTAAAAGCCTTTACTTTATAGATAAAGAAAATGAAGCCCAGAGAAGAGTCTTAGATTGAATGTGGCCACAAATCCTTTGTTATTCCTCCCATTGAGAAGTGGCATCTCATGCCCACACCTGCCGCCCCCTCCTAGTGTTTGGGCAGGCTCTGTGATTGCTTTGACCAATAAAACCCAGAGGAACCCTGTCAATTTCTGTCCCAGGCCTTAAAAGAATGGCAGCTTCTACTTTCTGGGTCTGGCATGCTCTTAGGACTTCTCATCTCAGAACCATGTATTGGTGCTCCACTCTACCCACAGCTAAGCTCCCAGAGGACAGATAACATCACTTTCATTTATGGGAATGTGCCATCTTGTATGTCTAGCCTAGTCAAACCTTTGAAGGGCTACATTCTCAGCATATCCTCCCCTGAGGGGAGAGCGGGGGAGGGAGAGGGGGAGGGGGAGAGAGAGAGAGAGAGAGAGAGAGAGAGAGAGAGAGAGGGAGAGAAGAGAAATATCAAAGGGTTGCCTCCTGTAGGTGCCTGAACTGAGAATCTACCCCACAATATAGGTAAGTGCCCTGATCTAGAATCGAACCCACAACATTTTGGTGTATGGGACAATGCTCCAACCAACTGAACCACCTAGCTAGGGCACCAGCCAATATTTAATAGCAATAACATGAGAGACTCTAAGTGAGAATAGCCCAGCTCTGCCCAGTCAACTCACAGATCAGTGCGAGAATGAATAATACACTAAGTTTGGGGATGATCTGTTTGGTAGTAAAAGCTAAGTGGAACTGAAAATGAAACTTAGACCAGCTTCTAAATAGAAGCAGAAGACTCCAATTCTAGCATAATCTTAAAAAGTGTTAAGGGGACATGCAGAGTTAAAGTAGACTCATTCTCAGTCTCTTAGTAGCTCAAAATTCCAAAATCTTTTCTTTCAATAATTGCATAAAACACATAATTTTCAAAACTCTTAAACATTTAAAGCAGACACTAAAAGCTCTGCCTACATAACAAAAGACCGTTATTAGGTAATAGAATAAGGTAGCATTATCAAAAGTTCCTTGAAAGCATTAACTTAGTAATAAGTGAATGAAATAAAGAGTTCCTTAAGTAAACTGATTTGGGGAAATCCTGACACATTAGAGATGTCTCTTGAACTCTAGATTTTTCAGAAATGTAAAATATCCAAGACAGTAAAGTTTCTTTCCCCAAATTATATGATCAAGGAGTCCTTCTTCACTGAGCACCTCATGAGATTTCTATTTCATAGAAACACTAAACTAAGAAATAGAAATAGGGATGCAACTTTATTAGCAGAAACTAACTTTTACTTTCAGAATATTTCACCAAAAAGTTGCTTTTATGCCCTCATCTTGGAGAACACATTTTTAGTCAAAACTTTTACAAATCTTGGGGGGCTACACGCAGTTGGGTCCCTTTCACCACCTGCTCCCTCTGTGCTGCTCTCTTACTTTGAACACTTTCCTGTTGAAATAGTTAATACATATTGGAGGAATAAAGATAAGAAGGAATAAATAAAAGTAGGTAAATGATAAATAAATGAACTAATTAGTTAAAAATTGCAAACCTGGAAATCAACTCTGACTCTAATTAACTTGGTTTGAATTTTGTACCTTTATTTCCATATAAGGCCAAGGGGAATTGTAACCTTGCCCTGCCTCATGGAATTCTTGGCAAGTTCAAAGGACATGTCAAAGTTGAAGGTGGGGAAGATTTAGGTCTGATGTGTTCTTAGCAATCATCTATTTATCAACTCCTTGCATTTTTGAGATGTGAAGGCTGGGATTCAGAGAACTTATAGTACAAGTGCTAGCCACATTAGAAACTCCCTTTCCAGTGGACCCACATTAAAGAGGTTGGTAAAGCCCTCTATATTAGTACATGCTATATCGAAAGCTGTGATTCTAATCCAGATGGTGACTATTTCTAACACAAGGTTTACAAGCAATTTGGGCCCCCAAACACATATTCCACCAGTGTTCATAGCCAGTTTAGGAAGGTATGACAATCTAAAACTTCAATAACCAGTATTACATGGGCAATGACAATGACAATAGACACTAGCCTTCACAATTGGTACAGTCATACTGATGGGCACCAGCAGTATATCTCTCTGGTATACGGATGTGGTCAATCACATTTATCCCTTCCTGCCACTAGTTCCCAGCCCTGTGAAGACTGTCACATTACCAGGTGTTGGAAATTCTCCCAGTCAGGCTCTTTCTTATACTGTGACTGCATTTTGATGCCCATAATACAACAGGCTCCATTATGTGTCTCCTGGGAATCACCAGCCCTTCATGGTTCCTGGAACATATGCCACCCTGTCTCCCAAATCATGGAGCATTTCAATGTTTTCACTTTATAAATATGAGGAAATTAAGTTTTATCATCTCCTCTTGCCCCAACTAAGACACGGACCAGTCCACTAAACAGTACTTAATTACTCTGGAACCCTCTACCTCTATATATCCTATGTTCTTGTTCTATAGTCACATTATAGAGTGGAATATTACCTGAAAGGCTGAAGGAGTAATACAGCCATAAAAATATGGTAGAAAAAATTAGCATGAGATAGAATATTTGATACTTTTAAGTTATAACGGAAAAATATTTGTAAGGATAGAACAAAGTATCTGCATTTAATCAGCTTATTTGTGTAGCTCTGGAAAAAAATAGTCATTTAAAAATATTGATTATAGTTTCATAGCTCTTTCTAAATAAATTGCTCATTTCCCCAGCCAATGGGGAATGGTTTATACAGTTTGACATATATACTTCTATATTACCTTGGCCCAACTCTGCTTCATTGGTAATAAGTTCTTAGATGTTATTTAAGTATAATTTGATTGTAAATGGGGAATGAAGGCCTCATTCTCCCATATGTAGAATAGTTAAAATTCTAGCACACTTACTTCTACAAGCCTGTTGGTGTGTTCACGAAATATCGCAGCATATTCTTTTATTTCCTTTTCTCGACCATTCTTGGCAGCTTCGATGAGAACCAAAAGTGGGACTGTCGTATCCAGAAAGGAGTCTGACACATGATCTATAATAGCCTTACGGAGCTGAGAAGAAACAGAAAATTCATGCTTTTTAAAAAATCAGGAAATAGTTCAAGTTATTTTGTAGTTTTACAATCTCAGTAGCTACAAAATTTTATATATTTTTTGCACAATCCCAAAAGTCATATTTATGACTGTGTATGTATGTATGTCACTTACAAAGCTAAAACAAGCCATATATTGAAGAAAATATCATCGAGCAATAGCTCTCTTGTTCGCAAAAGTCACTAATTTTTTCTTTAATTGTATTTACCCCAGAAGTCAGATTATAAGTGATAATTCTTCATTTTTTCCTTCAAGAAATTGACCTATTATAATGTTTATGCACATGTACAAACAACATTGTACATCATGTATTTTCATAATTACAAAATTATGAAATGTTTTCTACCTTGTTGGAGGAACTGATAAATTTTGATTAGCTAAATTGTAGACTTCATGGTAATTAAACCAAGTTAGATCACTGATTATGCCAGTTGATAATAGATTAATAGAGCAAAGAGAATAATAAATGAGTGTGATGTCCAATTTTCTTCATTTGCATTAATTGTTCTTGCCCTCACACCTTAAATTATTAAACAAGTGTAACATTCTGCTACAATTAGTTCCTTTAAATTAGATTATGTATAAGCTTATAAATGACAATCAGGCAATTACTCTACTCAGCAGATAGTTCCAGGAATTTAAAACTGCATTAGAAAATTAATAAATGGAATCTATATAATATTGAAGCCTTAAGGATCACAATATCATGAAATGTTTCATTAACAATTTCAATGACTATGAATGCCCCAGAGTTTTTTGATCACCTCCTCATTTACATTAATAATCTCTATACAATAAAATATAGAAGTGAATTCCTACTAAACAGGAAATTTGTAATTTGCCTTTTGTGAAAATTGTATTTTAGGTGTTTTTTTTTTTAAAACCAATAGACACTTAACCTAGTTTTGGATTACATGAGATATAATAATACACTTTAAAGGGGTTGAATGATGTAGCTACATAAAAAAGAGTACATTCTCTCTCTCATTTAGAAAAATGAATCCATAATAATTACAGATTTCTGAGAGAAAAATACCTCTGCCTAAGATAGTCAAACTTGCTCAGAACTGTGAAATTTTCCGGCTACCAACAATTTCACAAAGGCTGTAGGAAAATTTCTATTTAGTATGCAGAAAGGCAAATCACTCATGACAACTAATTAATATTTACTGAGCACTTACTAGGACAGGGTGTAGAGTACTAAGGGGTTACAAGGCAAACAGAGTGAATGACCAATGTCTTTGACTTCCATAAAGAGTGAGCCGAGGAAGTCAGGCAAGAAATCGTAAGTTAGCACTTGAACCGGGAACTACGAGTAGTACTAGTTCCGGAGACATAAAAGTAGAAGGAATCTCTCAGAAGGGGAACTGTTTTAAGTAACAGTTTCTCCCCTTCATCCTTTTCTTCTTTCATTGTAACCAGGACATATAGAAGGAGAGCTAAAAGATCAGCACTATAGGCATGCATTTGAAAGCCATCAAACATATGGGAGGCAATTTAAGCCAAGGAGGTGGACAGGATCATAGAGAGAGACACTCACAGAGAGAAGATGTTAGAAAATAAAATCCTAGGAAATTATAACATTTATAGAGAGAGACACTCACAGAGAGATGTTAGAAAATAAAATCCTAGGAAATTATAACATTTGCCAGGCCGGTGTAGCTCAGTGGTTAAGCGTCCACCTATGGACCAGGAGGGCACAAGTGGTTCAATTCCCGGACAGGGCATGTGCCTGGGTTGCAGGCTTGATCCCCAGCAGGAGGCAGCCGATCAATGATTTTCTCTCGTCATTGATGTTTCTATCTTTCTCTCCCTCTCCCTTCCTCTCTGAAATCAATAAAAATATATTTTAAAAAAAGAAATAGTACCATTTATGGGAGTCATGCAGATGAAAGAGTAAAACCTAAAAAAGAGCCTGAGATGATGAGAGCAAATGGCCAAACAACTAAAGGAGAAACTTTTAAAAAATTTATTGTTGACACTCTTGCAGATGTCCACAATCCTCAACCCCTTTACCCACCTCCACCCAGCCCTAACCCCTCCCTCTGGCCATCACCACACTGTTTGTGTCCATCAACCCCTCCCTCTGGTCATCACCACACTGTGTCCATGGCCCAACCAAAGAACATATAAAGGAGAAACTTTCAAATAAATCTCTGTGTCAGTGCTCTTAAGATAAAGTTATTGTAGCAAACACAATTATAATACCCATATTATGAACTTGTTGAATCTTCTTTTCTATTTGATTCAATTCAACAGATATTGTGAATACCATTCTTTACATTTCTACCAAGAGCAAGGTTGTGAAAAATGTCAAGGTGGAATTGCATGTTTCTTTATAATCCAGTGGAAAAGTGAGTCATTAAATATTATAATAAAGGAAACTAACTAGGAGACTGGCAGCAAGGAGATTTCAAAAAGATAATAGGTTTCCAAATCTAATTTTAAAGATAAGTTAAATGAAAATAACCAAGACTTGTCTATTGGATTGGACCACTAAGAGGTTCCTGCTGAAAACTTAGTGAGAGTAATCCTGGAAAAGTGGGAGCAGGAGTCCTTTTGCTATGATTTGAAGAATAAATGGGAGACAAGGGTGCAGAGACCGCAAGAATAAACTTATTTTTAGTAATTTGGGACATGAAGAAGCAAGACTTGGTATGAACTATATCAAGACAGTTTTAAAGAGGGATTGTTTCTCATATAAAAGACTTTGATGTTTTTCCCATCTACAACTATACGCAAAAAGTCAAATTGTCCTCTTGTACTTTAAAAACAATACATTTTGATCTATCATCATACAAAAAATCTAGGGAGATGGAGAATAACAATTGTCACACATTGTGCCAATTTTTGTAAATACTTAAATAATTATAGCAATCTTCTTCCAGGGCTGCATACATTTGCTATGGTCTGTTCCTCTCCCCTCTGTGATACTACCTTATGTCTTACCTTTATTTTAATGGTCTTTATTCCCTGTTCTTTTTTTATTTTTTAAGGTTTTCAACTATATTTTCCCAGATGTTAAATCAATCATTTATTCCATACACAAGTGTTAAAATATATTACAAAGGTGAGGTTCAAGGTACAGCCGATTTACTCTTAATTACAGAATAAATAAATGAACTCTTTGGCGAAATTATTTTAAAAAGAAAACTAAACCAAATTAGAAGCAATTTTTTTTGCATTTTGTAAGGCATGTTGCTAACTACATAACACATTAAATGAGAAAAGGTGTACCACATACGTGTGGTATTATGTTCAGTAGGACAAGCCTAGGACTGGAAAATGAGCTTCCAAATAAGTTCGATGCCAATGTCTTCAAAATTCTGTTGGAAAATAGGCTAAAATTACCTGACATAATGTCAAATATAATGAGCACAATAAATCTTCTGTTCCGTAATTGTACATTCATTCAAATTAACAAATGCATTTTGAGCTGCCTAAGGGCAAGGCACCCTTCTAGGCAACCTGAGGAATGTCAGAGTGAAAAAGACAGGGTAACTATTCGGGAGTGAGAAATGCACAAAGAGTTTGATGAGTATCTTTAATTACAAAAAAAAAGGAATGAGAAAATTTACACTGATTGTCATGGTGAACATGGCTTTAGCAAGAATGAAATATATGTATTCCATTTTAAAAGCTGAATAGGAAGTAGGAAGTATAACATTCTAGGAATAGAGACTATAAAAAGCAAAGAAAATAGAAGGATCCTCAGGATATCACAAGTACCTAGTGTTACTAGGACACAGTGGTAGATTGAGAACTGAAATAAGATTTTAGTGAGTACAATGAAGATAATGGAAAGAATTTTCGGCAAAAATAACAAATTAAGACAAAAAGAATAAAATATAACAATAAAATGGACAGAAATTGGTGACTTGTGCTAGACAAGAATGATGCCTTTAGGAGGTAGCACACAGTTAGCAGGCAGGAAAATATCTTTTGTTTTGAGAGCATCTTAAGCCATGCAAACAATAAACAGCACAATTAATGCAACCAAACCACAATTTTCTCACTGTATTGTCTATCTTGCTGATTCCTGATCATTTACCATCACATTCATAGCTATGATTATGGACTACATGAGAGGCGCTTGCTGCTTTACATCTCATCCTCTGCACCTGTCTCTGATTTCAGCTCTTGCTGTGGGGAACAGATCCAAGTCCTCTGAACACATCCCACCTTGAGTGCATTCCATGCTTCTCTCTGTTATTCTTTCTTGGGGCCTGCTCCAAGTCTCTGTAAGATTCTCAGCCCAAGTACAAATGGGCTGGAAGTTCTGAGGAGTCAACACCACTGGGAGCAACCTTCAACCAATTGGGAAGGGAGCTGCTGGATAAAACCCCAGCCTCCCTCCATTGGCCAGGCAATGCTGGAAGGCATTATATGCCTTCTCAGTGGTCCTTAAGCTCCTGTTGCCTATAGTGGCAACCTCAATAGCATATCCTTTCCTCCTTCCCTGCCTGTTCTCTTACCCTTCATGGTCTCATACAATTGCTTCTTGGTTCCGCTTCCCAAATAAACTGCCTGTAGTAAGGCCCCAGTCTCAGGATCTGCTTTCTGAAGACGTCAATATAAAATTGACATGTTTATCTGGTGTTAATGTTGTTTGGTTACGTACCAAGTAACAGACTCCAATGTTTTACATAAACTACCCATTGACAATCACACTTTGCCACTTCTGCTTTGCACACCACTGGGTTTGATTCTGCCCTTGGATTATGGTGACTATGAAAGAGGCATGATTATAAGATGGAACTAGAAACACATATAGGGACAAGACAAGAAGGCCTTGAATGCTATGCTAAATAATTTTCTTTTATGTTCTAACATGTTCATATGGGATATTTTTCACTTAAATTACACTGTCATTTATATCTATATAAATACCTAAGCAGGCTCTATCTTATTTATTTCCATATTATTTTGCTGTCCAAAGGAATAACTCATTCCTTTCA